AGGGCTCCTCCTTCCCTCTCTCGTTCATCCCTTTGCATGTACAAGTCAGTCTCATCCAGCAGATTAAGTAGTTTTTAGGGCAATGGCCATGTGCAATTAATTTTCCTACAACTCTGAGCACCTAGCACAGCGCTGTGCACACAGCACATACAGACTCTATACGCACGTGCTGCTGATTATTGGTCCTGCCTCCATTGTATATGAGACTCAGGGACCCCAGTTGAAGCAATGACCTCCTGCTGCTGAGTGCCCTAGAACATCCTGCATGGAGGGCTTCATGTGAAAAGCAGCTTAGTGTGAAAACATCCGACACCTAAAATTTAGAGTCTGTCTGAACAGCATTTGACATCGCTAAGCACATAAATACACATGAATATAGAATAATACAAGTGTTCTAGAGACTGCAACTCCAAGTACTCTGGAGAGAGAGGAATTATACCTTTCTCTACCCAGCATTTAAAAGAAAAAGTCCCTAGAATGTTTTTCAAACAGCCTCACATGAAAACAAAAGACACATAAACTGCACAGACTTCATTGTGCTAAACAGGAAAGAGCTGTTTTCTTGACATCTAGTCTATTTCTGAGAAACTAAGAGCTACTTCCTGCTTCCACTTACAAAGGATGTGTGTTCAATACAAATACATTTCATTTGTCCTTAATGAACACAAGATATTCCTCACTCACGAGAAAAACAAGAGCCAGAGACTTTGAATTAATAAAAGGGCTGATCAGACTGTCCTAGGCAGTGAGGATAAAGGGAGACTCTCAGCACCAGTATTTCACTCCACATTTGCAAACACAGAGCCATGGATGAACCTAATTTGACCTTCCTCTTAACCCACTGGCTCATCATTTGAGGAAATCCCAAATCAATCACCAGGGCCTTGTGACTCAGTGAACTGCTATAAACAAACCATTAGCCCTGGCCACTGTGGCTCAGTTGGTCAGGTGTACTGTGCAGCAAAAAGTTGCAGGTTCTGCCCTAGCCAGTTTGGCTCAGTGGATAGAGCATTGACCTGCAGACTGAAGGGTCCCAGGTTTGATTCCAATCAAGGATACATGCCCGGGTTGCTGGCTCAATTCCCAGGAGAGGGTGTGCAGGAGGCAGCCAATCAATGATTCTCTCTCATCATTGATGTTTCTGTCTCTCCCTCACCCTTCTTCTCTGAAATCAATAAAAATATATTTTTTTTAAAAAAGTTGCAGGTTCAGCCTAGTCGATTTGGCTCAGTGGATAAAGGGTCAGCCTGGGTCCCATGTGCAATTACAGTCAAGGGCCCATACCTTGGTTGCAGGCTCCTCCCCGGCCAAGCCCTGGTTGGGGTGCATGCAGGAGGCAAACAATCACTGTGTTTCTCTCACATCGATGTTTCTCTCTGTCTTTCCCTCTCCCACTCTCTCTAAAAAAGATCAATGGGAAAATGTCCTCGGGTAAGGATTAACAAAAAACAAAACAAAACAAAACAAAAAAAGTTGCAGGTTCAATTCCAGGTCAGGACGTTTGCCCAGGATGTGCGCTTGATTCCTGGTGCAGGGTGTGTAGGAAGCTGTTTAGAACCACAGCAGTTTGCTTTTACTAGGCATTTGGTGATTGTGACACTGTTATATTGTACATCAGCGAGCTGAACATAAGATGCCTTAGTAAGCAAATTAATTATTTTGGAGCCTTTATTACACTAGCAGTCTCAGAGGAGTAACTCCCAGAGTTTGAGCAAAACAGTATAGAGGAAGTTTTCCCTTTACCCTCCACCCCCAAGTCCCTTTGTCTCCCAAATATGGGTTTTCCAGACCTTTTGCAGACTTTACAAAGAGCTCTCTGTATGTATTTTGCAGGAAGCTTGTAACCTTGAGCACAGCGCAACTCAGTAGCCTTGAGCATAGTATATTTTCAGATAACTGGAGGGCACCTATTTAGGGGAGTAGCCAGGGATGGCGATGGAGTGGCTTGCAAGGTGAGATAGTTGAGTTTATGTTCCCTATTATTCAAGCAAGAAAGCATGTTTACAGAAGTCAAGAAGAGCAGTGTTAAAATATCAAACAGCAGTTTTTACAAAATAGAGATTATGGTAGCAAGATGGAGTACCTGTTTCAACACCAGGTACTCAGCACACATGGGGTTTGACCCACACACTGCACAGCAGAAGGGCATGGCAAACCATTGCTGAATTTTCCAATTCTTTTTTCCTCTCTCTTCCTTTTTCATTTTACTGAGATGAATAAAATGAAATTGAATGCTTTTATGCAAGTATATAAGAAGAAATTGATCACAAATCAAAATAAGACATGCTGATAACAATCAGTGACTAGAATGCACAAGTAGGAAATAAAGCAGAATCAAATGTCATTGGAAATTTTGGACTGGGGGTCAGAAACAAAGCAGGAAAACAGCTCATGAAGTTCTGTGAGACAAACAACTTGTCCATCACAAACACATGCTTCATTCAACCAAACAGACATCTACACATATATCAGCAGATGGCTAATATAGAAGGAAATAGACTATGTAATTGTAAGCAGAAGTTGTATATATTTCCTTAAAAAATTATTCTTCCTTAATTTTTTAAGGCAATATATAGTGGATTATTGAGGCATTATGTTTGTAACTCTCAAATAGTTTAGACAGAAAAAGTAAATATGTGGTAAAATAACATTAAGGGAATTTTATATTTTTGGCCAAGTTTGTGAGGAATGAGTATTTGGTAGACATCACCAGTGAAGCCATTTGGGCCTGAGCTTTTCTTGGTAGTAGTTTTCAACCTCTTGTTACAAGTCTATTCAGATGAGCTACTTCTCCTCCTCCTCCTCCTCCTCCTTCTTTTTTTTCTCCTTCTGGCTATTTCTTCATGAAACAGTTTCAGTACTTGGTGTCCTTCTAGGAATTTGTCCATTTTTAATCTAATTTGTTGGCATACAGTTATTCATAGTATTGCCCTATAATCTCTTTTATTTCTGTGACGTCAATAGTAATGTCCCCTCTTTCATTCTTGATTTTAGTAATTTGAGTCTCCTGTCTTTTCTTCATGGCCATTTTAGCTAAAAGTTTGTCAAAATTGCTTATTTTTTCAAAAAACCAGCTTTTGCTTTCACTGCTTTTTTTGTATATTTTCCCATTACCTATTTCATTAATATCATTTATGAATGATATTTTTTCTTTTTGCTTGCTTTGGATTTAGGTTGTTCTTATTTTACAGTGTCCTAACGTGAAAGGATATTAATTGAGATCTGTTGTTTTCTTAGTGGTGCTCCAGGGCATGTATGTGTGTGTGTGTGTGTGTAT